TACATATATTTATAACTATCACATGAATAGGAGAGAGACAGACAGACAGACAGACAGACAGCTCACATAATGTTTCCTAATCAGAGCTGAGCGTCACTTGAGAACAGTATTCCCAGGACTGGGGGCGGCAGCTGAGTGCAGGCCTGCCTGGCTACCAGGTCCTTCTAAAGACAGCTGTTAGGTCCATGATGTTAACTCACACATGCACACACATGGAGCACTCTCACATGTGCACACACACACAGGCATGTGCACACACGCACAGGCATGTATGCTCATGTACACCCACACACTGAAAAGCAAGGGCGCTCAGCCTGTGCTCTACACTCCCCAGCAGCTGGAGGGAGGAGGCTCCTGAGGTGGCGGGACAGTGACATCACAGCCACCGCCGCAGCCTCGCTGGGGGAAGACCCACTCTGGTCTTGAACCGGCCATGCTTCTCAGGCTCCTCTGCGCTGTGGCCTTTTCTTTCCTGGGAGCAGGTGAGTCCAATGGCAGCTGAACCCCTGAGGTTCCGCCCCAGATCCTGGGTACGAGATTTCCCTCCTCACATACTAGAGACGGTCTTTCACCTCCTCTGCCCTTTTCTCACAGTCCTCACCGATGCAGGCATTACCCAGAGCCCAAGATACCTGGTCAAAAAAGAGGGAGACCACGCCTTGTTGGAATGTTCACAGGACAGGGACCATGATAGAATGTTCTGGTATCGACAAGACCCAGCGCTGGGGCTGCAGCTGCTCCACTACTCCTTCTATGTCAAGGATACTCAGAAAGGCGATTTCCCTGATGGGTACAGCGTTTCCAGGAAGGAGAAGGAACGATTCCCCTTGAATGTGACGTTCACCAGGTCCAATCAGACATCCGTGTACCTCTGTGCCAGCAGTTTAGCCACAGCAGGGCATAGACACATCCTCCCTACATAAAAAGGGCCAGGGCAGGGTAAGTGCCACCAGCTGGGGCTGAGGTACAGGATGCAGGTGGCCCTGAAGAGCCACGTCCTGGAGAACCCTGACCCTCTCCACCCTCCCACACCTCTTTCAAGTCAGGGCAACCCCAAAGTTAATGCCCAGGTGGTGTCTACAACCCGATTCAAGAGTCTCTCATGGCCCAGAGACGTCCTCCTACATAGCCAGCCTCACAAAAAAAACCCTATTCTACCCTCCTGTGCCAGCTTCCTTGTCTTCTTTGCCCCAGGCCCTATACTTGCTCTTTGGCTGGTTTTTGACTGATGTTTCACTAGAGGGCCCTCACACACCCTAATTATCAATATAATGAAAAGGAATGTAATATAATCAGTGTCATGTATCATGTACAGCATACCAGAAGATAGCAGTATGATAGGATCCTGCACTTAGATGTACTTTGAGAATTCTGCAGAGAACGTGCCAGTTCTGTCTGGATCCCGGAAAACTAAGAGGAAATTCCATTTGAACTTCACCTTGATTGTGGGTGGGACATTTGGACAAAGAGGACAAGTTCTGCAAGTTTGTTCACACCTGGAGGGGAATTAATTACGAGAAGGAAGACCATCAACTGCTCAGAATTAAATCCAACTGAAGAAATTGGACAGAATGGAGTTTTTGAAGAAGCTGAGTATCTGGTTTCATGAACATAAGTATGAAAAATCCTTGTAGGCTGTTGCTCAGGCTGATCTGAAGTGACAGCTGATGTCATCAGCAGGCAGGTGATTGGTTAGTCCAAAGTTTCAACAGTCATCGTGTCCTTGGTTCCTCACAAAGATCATCACATTAAATAATGTGTGATCTCATTATCATTAGTCATTCCAGCTTGAATAGAGGAAGCTGAATTGTCTGTGGGAAAACCACATGGAAATTAGAAAAGGTGGCAGTATACACAGCCAGGCAATTGGGATGCAATAGAAATATTTATATTCTGCAGAACTCAGCATACAAAGAAATTAACTATGAGGTCAGAAAATGCTACTCAACATAAAGATTTAGAGAACAGAGGTAACATGTTTGGAAATAAAGATTATGGATTCTGGTTCTTTACGGAGAATAAACACTAATAAATAAACAAGCTAAAACACACCGGAAATATCTAAAAGGTAAAATACTCTGCAGAGCAGTGACAGGTCTCAGAATCATAAAAACAACAGGGATTTGTACTATGTGAAAAGAGAATTAAGCAATTAATCATCAAAAGCAATGCTCAGCCCTGAGATAGAAACTGGTGTTCAAATTAATGATACAGGAAAACCTCAGATATTGCAAATCTCTGGATGAATTCTGGGTCAGAGATAAATGAAAGTGCATTACCAACAGGGCAGACGTTCATGTGCTGACACACATGTAAGCAGGTGTATCCATCCTCATGTCTGTCTCTTACCTACTAAGCCTCTATCTATACATGTACATGAAGTAAGAGAGAGACAGGACAGAGATCTGCACAAAGTACCACTGAGGTATTGCAGCAAGCATCGCAGACAGTGGTGACGTGTGTTCTTTATCTTTCTTTTCTAACATTCTAAAATCTACATGAATAGTTTCTCTTGGTAAAAATAGGTGTGAAATGTTTTTCAATGAAAATTGGATATTTTCAATGAATAAAATAGAAACCAGTCACATTTCCACAGCAGGGAACAGCGCTCCCTTCTGACAGGAGGGCGGGTCTTGCTCAGGAACGTGAAGGCACCAGAGGCTGAGTCTGCAAAGCCATCACAGGAGAAGGACGCTGAGGGGGCAGGCGAACACCCCCCTTTCTCGCCTTGGTTGTTGCCATGAACACGAGGCTCCTCTGCTGTTTAGCCCTCTGTCTCCTGGGAGCTGGTGAGTCCTAAATAAAGAGAAACATTCTGTCCTGGCTTCGCCTGTCTCCATCCCAGGTCCTTCTCTGCACAAGGTCCCTCCTGGCTCTGTCCACAGCTTCTGTTTCCTTTCTTCACAGACTCTCTTGAGGTCCAAGTCACCCAGACCCAGGACATCTGGTCAAAGGTAGAGGCCAGAAGGCTGAGATGAACTGTCTCCCTGCACGAGGACATCGTTACGTTTACTGGTATCAACAGATCCCGGGAAAGGCGTTTACGTTTTTGGCATACTTCCAGAGTGAAAATCCTCTGGATCAAACTGAGTTGATCAAGAAGCAGCGATTCTCAGCTAAATGTCCCGAGAACTCACCCTGCAGCCTGGAAATCCGATCGTCCGAAACGGCAGACTCAGCGCTGTATTTCTGCGCCAGCAGTCAGTACACGGTAGTGAAATGTCAGCTCCTGTGTGCACAAATTGAAGGCCCCAGCTCAGGAAGCAGGTGCCACGTTCGGCAGGAAGGAAGCAAAGAAATTCTTAAGCCACTGTGGGATGAGGACAAGACCGGGGTTAGCAGCTGTCACGGAGCGACGGACAGACAGTTGTGGAACGGCCGCCTCCCAACTCACAACTGTCTTTGCCTCTTCTGCGGGCTGCATGTCTTCTCTCTGTTTTCTGCCTTTCTCTTTTTCTCCTTGCCTCATGGCAAGGATGAGCTGGTTCTCATGGTCACAAACCTGCTGGCACCTTCTACCACGCAGGTGAAGACCAACCCTGCTCTGTTAAGCCCGGGTTTAAAATACCATGGAATGTTACTCAGCATTCAAAAAAGATGAACACATGCAATTTGCAGCAACATGGATGGCACTGGAAGGGATCATGCTCAGCGAAATAAGCCAGAAAGAAAAAGAAAAATACCGGATGGTCTCACTCATAGCAGGAACCTAGAAAACCTAAATAAGGGACCAGGAAAATGAATAACTATAAGAAAGTGAAAATCAAAATCAACAAAAAACTATGTACCAGAGACACTTTTAGGGGGGTGGGGGCGGGAGGGGAGGGATTGGGGTCAAAATAAGGGGGTTGCAATTGTATGGGGAATATAAAAATTAAATTTAAATAAAAAAATAAAAATAAATAAAATAAATAAAAAATGTAATACAAAAAATACCAGGGGAAAGAAGCACCACTACCCCCATAGAGGTATCGTCCTCTAGAGGACACACACACCCCTTCACACAGCAACACCCTCACACAGCATCGCCTTCTCATAGTGATAAAAGACGAGGGATAGAGAGACTCCTCAGAACTGAAATGGCCTTTCACAACCCTTTAGTGGACAGAGAGCAGAGGATGAGGAAGACAGATGTGCCCCAACCGTGTGGGGAAGCAGCCGTTAGCAACCCCACCACGTCTGATCTGCTCACCAGGAATGAGCCCAGGTCCAGCCTTTTTTTTTTTTAAAGACTTATTTATTTATTTATATAACCACTGGGTACAGTCAGAAGTGCGGAGGGTGAGAGGATTCACCAGAGCCAGAGCAGGGAACAGAACAGGCAGACTGACGAAATACACTGCTGAGGGGAGCAGCAGGCAAGGCAAGAGAGGTCTGTAGCGCCATGTGGGACCCTCTCCAGTGGCCGGGGATCGAACTGGCACTTCAGACGCTGCGGGCAGCTTCGCACCCAGCGCTCAACCCCTGCGCCACCAGGGGAGGCCCCCCCAGTCCAGGCTTTTGAACTAGACACACAACCTAAACCCACAATGTGGATGGACTGAGTTTATTTATTTTTTTTTTACCCACACGTGTTTTGAAAGGTCAGTGTTCAAAAAATATATCTGTGAATAGACCAAGACAGGAATATACTAGGAATTACTTTGTGGCAGAGTAGAAATGAGCACATGTGAAGGATAAAAGTGCAATGTTGATGATAGTTTAAGTTTCACGCTATACTTTCCTGAGGGATAAGGAAATGCACCAATTTTCAGCATAAAGCTGACCTTGGCCAACTCTCCCAAGCACATACGAATAAGACAGATCAGATGGGCACTGGAAGAAGCAGCCTCAAAGGGGGACGGAATAGGGCAGCCCCCTCGCCTTACCCACGGCCCAGCCACGTCTGTGTCACATGTCCCTCTGCACAGGGGTGTGGCTTCTCCCTGAACACGAGGCCAAGCAGCAGCCAAGGTGGAGGCATGACAGGAATCAGCTGGGCCCTGTTGTCGGAGGCCACCATGGGTGCCCAGCTCCTGGGCCATGTGATGTTTTTCCTCCTGGGAGCAGGCGAGTCCTGGGATCCAAGGGCAGCCCTTGGCCTTGCTTCCCGGACTTGGCTCAAACCTTGCCTGTGGCATGACCATCAGATGCCCTCCTGAGCTCTCTGTGTCTCACCTTCTCCCCTGCCAGGCCACGGAGCAGCAGGAGTGACCGAGTCCCCCAGACACCGCATCATGTTGCCTGGGAGGGAGCTAGAGCTAGAGTTGGAGTGTTTTCAGAGCACAAGCCACGACGCCATGTACTGGTATCGGCAAGACCCGGGCCTGGGCCTGAAGCTGATCTACTACTCCATTAATGTTGGCTTAACTGAGAAGGGAGATGGTTCTGAGGGATACGAGGTCTCCCGAAAATACAAGAAGCGTTTCCCCCGACCCTGAAGTCAACCGCCCTGGAGCAGACCTCTCTGTACCTCTGTGCCAGCAGGGAGGACACAGCGTGGCACAGCTGGCTTCTCTCACACAAGGGCAGCCACAAGGGAGGAGCTCCCCACCCTGGGAGCAGCATCCCACCCTCAGCACCCACCAAAGTCCCTCCCCGGTGCTGGAGCCTTCCGTTCACGCCCAGTGAGCAGGACAAGCGAATGTGTTGGGACCCGTGGCGGGCGAGAGTTGCTTCACCAAAAATGAATCTTCCATTGTCAGTGTCACCACTCAACTGAGTTCTGCCATATGCTGGCACCTTCTCCTCCTCTTCGGGGGATGGTGTTTTACTAAATCTGCTTTCTCCCATTTTTTTATGCTCAGCAAACAGCCCTGCCTTCCACCCAAACGCCCAAGCCAGAGCTGGGGAGTCACCCCCGCCGTGTCTCAGACACCTCCTCGCCTCATCCATCACCGCGCCTGCGTGTTTCTAAGCAGAGTTCCTGGCAGTTTTACTAATTTTTCTAACTTCACAGGTAACCTCTATGGTCAGCAAATGTCCTCCCTCACCCAGATTCCTTAACAAGCTTCCAAGGAGTCACCCACAAACCCCTCTCTTGGGCTTAAATCCTTCAGTGTCTTGCCTTAATGGAGCTGAAGGGAGGGAGGGAGGAGGCCAGGGATGCAGGGTGGAGAGGGAGGGAGAAGGCCTCATGGAGCACCCCTTCAGTCCATCACCCGGGTCACCGTGCACAATGGGGCGCTTGCACCACCCCAAACCTAACACCTGACATTGCCCAGCTGTGGCCAACATGGCCTGTGCATTCAGGAAACCGCCTGGGCCCCCAGGGGTCCTGGGGAGCAGTCACGAGCTCCGAAGACAGGGGTGAGCCTGCCAGGTGGGCCTGGCAAAGAGACAATAGGACAGTTGGAGTTATCCTGGAAAAGAAGGCCCTGCCCACTGAAATGCAATCCTAAAACAACTCTGCATGAGGCGATGAACCGAGGACCAAGACCTGAAATTAGCGAGGCAGTGGCTGGAGAAGGAGCAGCCCTGGACAAGCACATGCTGCTGCAGGAGCGGGCGGTGGGCAGCGGCACATGCCCTGCTGGCTGGACAGGTCTTCCAGGCTCAGGAGCTGGTCCCCGAGATCACGTGTGTCTGAGGCCGAAAGAAGCTCCCACCAGTAGGTGGGGCCCAGGAATCTGGCTCGATTGCCATCAGGCAATTCTATGAAGTGTCTGGGCTGAGGAAGCCTGCAGAAATGCGGAAGAGAACTGAGGGACAGAGGACCTGACAGTACAGCCCTTGGGTGCTGTCTACTGTGCTGACGTGAGGGCGGCCTCCCTCCTGTCTCCAGGGAAGCTGCTTCCCCTAATGGGGCCAGGCTCAGGATGACAGGGCACCCCACACCGAGTGTCAACCCCTATCAGCACAGGAAGCGGCCCTGTAGGCTGTGGGCAAACTGCTGGCAGAAGTGTCTGCAGCTCAGAACTCCTGAGGCTAGGAGTCATTTTCGGTCTCTTTTTACAAGACGCCCCATCTCTGGGATGTCCTGTTTATGGGTACGAGCGATGCCAAGTGAGAAATGAATTAATTGTAACCGCACTCCTGGCTTGTGCCCGGATCTGCACATGCAGGTAAGAGCACGACCTGTGATCATGTCACGCAGTCACCTTCCTTTCTGCCCCTGAGGCCTGACAAGCTGCATCTGGACAGCATCAGCCTCACGACGCTGAGGGTAAAGGGAGGGAAACTCGAGCAGGAGCTTAGAAGGGTCTCCAGTGTGTCATGGTCAGAGGAAGATGGCAGGCGGGGTCAGGGAAGCCTCGGTCAAGGATATCTTCCGTGTGCCCATGAGCCACCTGGTCCAGGCCCACATTCTCCACGGGAACTTTTGCGATCTTTATAGATTACTGGTCCACGGGGGATGAAAAGTAGCTGTGCTCTGTGCATGAGGCCCAGGGGAGGATAGTCTACTGATGCTTTTATTTCCTCCTCTTAAAATGCTTTCAGCTCTGCAGCCATTATTACCTCAGCATCACGTGTCCTTGTCAGTGTGTGGTGCTGAATTATCTGGTTGCTTTAGAAAGAAACTTCATCATTTCTCTAGAGTCTCCCTCAAAATTTTTTTACTGATTTACCCAAATCTCTGAAATTGCATTCACTCTACCAGCTGACTGTCTTTCTACCCCAATTTCCATCTTTGAGGGTCTCATTAGTGAGGGACTGTCTATGCTTCCCTTCTCCTGGCCTGAGCATGCTGTCTCGTCTCAGTCTACAGCTGCATCACACTGCCCTGGAGGACACAGAGGGAAGTGAGTGTGACTGTCTCCCAGTCTCAGAGGGACTCCTCCCTAGCCCCACCCCTGCTCCCAGTCTCTGGCACACACCCTGCTCAGTCAGCCATTGCACAAGCCTTGTGTTCTCTTTACCTTCCTTAACTCAGCTCAAGCATAGAGATGTCTTTTTCTCCTATCTTAGCCCTTGGAAGCTCCTCCTCCTGCCTCTACCACCTGCCTCTCCCCCCTTTCTGCTGACAGTGCACTCAGGCCTCACACCTGGTGCCAGCCATGCAGCAGTCCAGCCAAGAGGTGAGGACCAAGTTTCAACCCCAGGTGGCCTCCCTCTAGAGCCTGCCCTCAACCAATTCACTGATAATGTTATTTAAAAATTGTTATGGAAAGCTAGAATTTCCACAAGGAAATATATGTATTCTATCTGTATACGTTTATGTATATATTTATAACTATCACATAAATGGGAGAGAGACAGACAGACAGACAGACAGCACATATAATGTTTCCTAATCAGAGCTGAGCCTCACTTGAGAACAGTATTCCGAGGACTGGGGGGGGCAGCAGAGCTCGGGCCTGCCTCGCTGCCAGGTCCTTCTAAAGACAGCTGTTAGGTCCACGATGTGAACTCACACATGCACACATATGGAGCACTCTCACACGTGCACACACACACAGGCAAGTACACACACGCTCAGGCATGTACACACACACACTGAAAAGCAAGGGCGCTCAGCCTGTGCTCTACACTCCCCAGCGGCTGGAGGGAGGCCTGGCTCCCGAGGTGGGTGGGACAGTGACATCACAGCCACTTGCCATGGCCTCGCTGGGGGAGACCCACTCTGGTCTTGAACCTGCCATGGTTCTCAGGCTCCTCTGCGCTGTGGCCTTTTCTTTCCTGGGAGCAGGTGAGTCCAATGGCAGCTGAACCCTGAGCTACCGCCCCAGATGCTGGGTTCGGGATTTCCCTCCTCACTTCCTGGAGACGGACTTTCACCTCCTCTGCCCTTTTCTCACAGTCCTCACCGATGCAGGCGTCACCCAGAGCCCAAGATACCTGGTCAAAAAAGTGGGAGACCCTGTCTTGTTGGAATGCTCACAGGACATGGGTCATGAAAGAATGTTCTGGTATCGACTGGACCCAGCCCTGGGGCTGCAGCTGCTCTACTACTCCCTCACTGTCACAGATACGCAGAAAGGCGATTTCCATCAGGGGTACAAGGTGTCCAGGACGGAGAAGGATAAATTCCCCCTGAATGTGAAGTCGGCCAGGCCTAGTCAGACATCTGTGTACCTCTGGGCCAGCAGTTTAGCCACAGCGGGGCACAGACACATCCTCCCTGCACAAAAAGGGCCAGGGCAGGGGAAGTGTCACCAGGTGGGGCTGAGGCTAAAGGATGCAGGTGGCAGTGAAGGTCCACATCCTGGAGAGCCCCGACACTCTCCACCCCCCCCACAACCATTCCAAGTCAGGGCCACCCCAAAGTTAATGCTTAGATGGTGTCTGCAACCCGATTCAGGAGACTCTCATGGCCCAGAGACGTCCTCCTGCATAGCCAGCCTCACAGGAAAAGCCCTATTCTACCCTCCTGTGTCAGCTTCCTTGCCTTCTTTGCCCCAGCCCCTTACACTTGCTCCTTGGCTGTTTCTTGGCTGACTTTTCATTAGAGGGCCCTCACACACCCTAATTAACTATATAATGAAAAGGAATGGAATATACTACAGGTCATATATATATATCATATCAGAAGATAGCAGCATGATAGGATCCTGCACTTAGATGGAATTTTTGGGAACTCCGGGGAGAACGTGCCAGTTCTGTCTGGACCCCAGAAAGCTCAGAGGAGTGTCCATTTGAACTTCACCTTGACTGTGGGGCCATTCTGGACAAAGAGAACAAGTTCTGCAAAGATTATTCACACCTGGAGGGAAATAATGACGAGAAGGAAGACCATCAACTACTAAGAATTAAATTCAACAGGAGAAATTGGACAGAATGGAGTTTTTGAACAAGCTAAGTGTCTGGTTTCATGAACATAAGTATGAAAATTCCTTGTAGGCTGTTGCTCAGGCTGATCTGAAGTAACAGCTGATGTCAGGAGCAGGCAGGTGATTGTTTAGTCCAAAGTTTCAGTGGTCGTCCATGTCCTTGGTTCCTCACAAAGGTCATAACTTCAAATAACTTGTGATCTTGTTACCATTAGACATTCCCACTTGGAATAGAGGGAATTGAATTGTCTGTGGGAAAATACCAAGGAAATTAGAAGGTGGCAGTATACACAGCCAGGCAATTGGGATGCAATAGGAATAAGTACATTCCGCAGAATTCAACATATAAAGGAATTAACTATGAGGCCAGAAAGTGCTACTCAAAATATGGATTTAGAGAACAGACATAACATGTTTGGAAATAAAGATTATAGATTCTGGTTCTTTACGGAGAATGAACACTAGTAAATAAACAAGCTAAAACACACCAGAAATATCGAAAAGGTAAAATACTCTGCAGAGCAGTGACAGGTCTCAGAATCATAAAAACAACAGGGATCTGTATTATGTGAAAAGGGAATTAAGCAATGAATCATCAAAAGCAATGCTCAGCCCTGAGTGAGAAACTGGTGTTCAAATGAATGATACAGGAAAACCTCAGATAATTGCAAATCTCTGGATGAATTCTGGGTCAGAGATAAATGAAAGTACATTACCAACAGGGGGAGACG